AAAAAGCAAAAGTTCTGAAATCTCGAATCGAGAATTCCCCACCAATAAGTGGCATCGAAATGAACGGATTCGTGCGTATTCTAAAGTTTAAATTTAAATCTAGTTGACAAAAATATAAACTCTGGACAAAGTTATAAGCCTTCAAAGTGTGACGACTCGTTCAAGTGCTTGATTTTACTTGATTTTAAAGTCTTCACCAAAGGAGAAAACTTTTCTTTACTGTAATTGAGTGAATTTTAATGTACTTTTGTACGCTGTACTTTTGTACTCTGTACTTTTTAAAATCATAAGTCGCAAATAGGAATTCCAATGCAGAGGTGGCAATTTGCATTTTTAAAATCAGTTTATTCAACAATTCAATCAAAATTCGAAATTATAGCATCTTTAGCTCTTTTCCATTCGAATAATTCGCACTTTTTCTCCTTTTTCTTTCAATTTTTCTGTGTAAACGATGAGTTGATTTTTCTTTGTGAGAATAGCTCTCATCTTTTTCAAATCTACTCCATCTGGCAATTGATGAGTTTCAGAAAAAAGCGTTCTCATTGACCACTTTGCCTAAATTTCGTTTTTCTTTAAAAGCAAAAAAATTTGCCGCCTCCGGGGATCGAACCAGCACCCTCCGCCTTGGAACCAAGCTCGCTAGCCACTAGGCTATAAAAACTTTAGCATATTGTTCTAAACTAAATATTTCTAAGCACACTGTGACATCCAGATCCCAAGAATAACATTTTATTTAAGCTGAATTGCATTGTTTTTGGCAAGAAAATGTCTTTGATCGAGATCCACCCATAATATGAAGCTAGAATATAAATTGAGCTAAAATCAAATGTTCTTCTTTTAAGCTGGATATCACAGTAGCTATTTAGATATTTAAATGTCTCAAAATATCTGGCTGGGTATTTAGTGCTTTTCAAGATCGGCTCACTTTCAATTTCCTTTTCCGAATCGGTAAATCTCCGATAATCTTGATCGTTCTCGTTCTTGCGATAATCTTGAAATGCTCAGCTTTCAGCTCTTTAGGCACATCGAAGCTCAAATGGAAACGAGAAGCATTTTCCATAATAATTTCCATTTTTAAATCGTTTTTCAATAAATTAGCATTCTTTTCTGAAAGATAGTATTCATTTTTTAAATTTAAAATCGAATTTTCATACCAATTGCTTCAAAAGATTTGGGAGTTTTTGGTAAACGAATCTGCAAAGATTTTTCGGCAGTTTGCCGGAAACGAGCCATCAGAATGTTTGAAAAAATTCGTCTTTTGTGCTTTTATTTCACAAAATTCTCCTCTTTTCAAAGCCCGAAACGAAATTATTTACGAGCTTTCGTACGAGAATACAAAATGAACACAAAGAAAATGCGTTATGAAATGCTCGAGAAATGCTCGAGAAATGACTCATTTGAAGTAACACTACTTCAACAAAATTGTCGTCAAATTTTGTAGCCTCTTAGAATGCCAAATGGACAACAAAATGAATCAAAAAAAAAAAACAAATCTGTTTAGCATCTGTTTTGTAGACTTACTTATAAAAACATAAAGAAAATTAGGGTCAAAGTTCAGACAACTGTCTACCCTAGGTTACCCCATACTTAGGTTACCCCATACCTAGGTTACCCCATACTTAGGTTACCCCATACCTAGGTTACCCCATACCTAGGTTACCCCATACTTAGGTTACCCCATACCTAGGTTACCCCATACTTAGGTTACCCCATACCTAGGTTACCCCATACCTAGGTTACCCCATACTTAGGTTACCCCATACCTAGGTTACCCCATACTTAGGTTACCCCATACCTAGGTTACCCCATACCTAGGTTACCCCATACCTAGGTTACCCCATAAATAAATGAAATGAAAAATAGAAACAAATAAATGAAACAAGAATCAAACAAGAGACAAACAAATGAAAAAAGAAGAAATGAACAAATATAATGTATAGCGGGGTTACCGGTGATTTATTTTGCACACACAATCACAATTTACACATTAAGACCTAGGGAATATTCTATCGTTTGTGAGGATGGGACGATGTAGGAGACGATGTAGGAGACGATGTAGGAGGAGAAGGCTACCCGCTTTATATGAGCTTGCGCCTTAGACAAGTCTACCCATATGGATCCCTGATTATCCCAATCCCTGGATCCCTGGTTATCCAGGGGAAGGGGCCTAGTATTAGGTTGTCCCATAAAAACCCAGAGATTTTGAATTTCATTTATTTTCAGCACATAGAAACAACGAAGAATCAGAATCAAAATTTTGTTTGGTGTTGAAATTTTGCCTATTGAATCCATTGAATTGAAGATATTGAATCCATTCCAATTGATGTTCTGGGCTGAAAATCGTGATTTTAAACGTTGAAACTTGGAACAGGATGGCCCTTGGTTTCACGTAGGTAGCCTAACTTTAACTCAAATTTCCTCGGACTTAAAAAAAGAGCCGAAACAGGTTTCCAGGGTGATTTCCGTGTAGATTCGATATTTGTTGAATCCGCCTATTTCAGAGATCTTGCAACCCTGAAAATAAGCAAATAAAAGCGCAAACTAGGTGAATTTACCCAAAATTAGACGAATACTAACAGTTAGATTCCGGTTTTTAAAGCCAATAGGATTTATTGGGTTGGTGAATTAGAAACTGCGAGCTATTTCGCGGGACTCGCAGATAAAAAAACAACAATAGCTGAAAGGGGGTTTGTTTACTTCAACATTTCCTCAAATTATTGCGAAAAAATTATGCTTTCAGCTTTTTATTTTTTGGTATTTTTCTTCACTTCTTCTATTGCACTCGACAATCTGCCACCGGGATTCGTCAAGTGATGCTTCATGAGTTCCTACAAGAGCACAGTGCAGGCTTGACAGCTGCTAATATTAAAAAGATATATGGGGAGGACTCACCTTCCGAAAGAACGTGTCGAGTATGGTTTGCCAAGTTTCGATCTGGGGACAAATCTTTGAAAGATGCAGAGGGCCGTGGAGCGGCACCCCAACTGGATGATTCCAAATTACTCGAACTCATTACCAACGACCATCGGGTGTCATGAATTGGGAGAAGGGTTAGGGGTTGATCATGCTACAGTGCTAAGGCACCTTCATACCCTTGCATTTAAATCGAAACTTGGGACCTGGGTGCTCCATGACCTCAATAACCCCCAGAAGTGGCAGCGCGCCTCGATCAGTGCCGTCTATCTCTCATAATACAAAAGGAAATCTTTTTTTCTTGAATTGTGATAGGAGATGAGAAATGGGTTTTATTTGTGAACTTTCAGAGGAAGTGGCAATGGGTGGGGCCAGGCGAGAAGCCCGAAAGTGACCCTAAGCCCGATTTGCACCAGAAGAAGTCTATGCTCTGCGTTTTCTGGGATATGGAGGGAGTGGTGTACTGGGAGTTGCTGGATAGCAAGACGACCGTTAAAGAAAGCAAATACAGTGAACAGTTGGGAAAGGTGAATGAAACCCTGAAGAAGAATAGGCGCTCCAAGTCAAAGATCGTTCTCATCCACGACAACGCGCGCCCTCATGTTGCAAAAGTGACTCGCTCTAAAATAAGCAGCCTTGTTTGGGAACTTTTGGCGCATTCCCCATACAGTCAGGACCTGGCCCCTTTTGATTAATATTTATTCTGGATCATGAGTAGTGAGCTTGCGGGAGAACACTTGGATTCGGAAGCAGTCAAAAATTGGCTTTGAAAGTTTTTCGATTCAAAACCAAAATCCTACTACGAAAGAGGAATCCGCAAATTAAAAATGGGCAGAAGTCGTCAATAATAATGGAAATTATTTGGAATGAATTGATGGTTTTATGTTGAATAAATTTTAGTACAAAGTCCCGCAGTTTTCATTTCGCCAACCCAATAGTTTGGAAAATTAGAGAAATCAAGTGAAACCCCGGTTCCGAATTGAATTGTGAAGTGCTCATAAGTAGCATCGTCGCCCATTCGTGTCCACAATTTTGAGCTACCGGCCTGAAAAATGTATATAAATTCCGAATTTCTTTATGCTATTCGGTTGACCGAAAAGTTCATGTGTTTTTTTGCGGAGACGGTCTCAAACTCAACCAATTACAACGTGGAATAGCTCGTTCGAAAGCTAATTATCAAGCGGATTCAATGCAAAATGCTCATGCGGGTTTTTTCATTCATTGAAATGTCTTTATAATTAGCTTTGGAAAGAGCTATTCCACGTTGAAATCGAGTCAATTTGAGACTGTCTCCGAAAAAAGAAAACGCACAAACTTTTCCTGCAAACTTAATACCTTATTTTCTGGTATACAAGTGATAATGACAGCCATCTCATCGATTTCATCTAAAAACAATGAGGATTTGATCTGTTGAGTTTGAAAATTTACATTCTATATTGATTTCCTCGTTTTCAACTCGACTAGCCGTCATTTTGCTGCGTTTTGCCGCTGGAGCTTTAGCCTCTTTGTCCTAAAGTGATCATTGGAAAGTGAGATTTAAAAATGCAACGTTATTTTCATTTTTAAACGTTAACAATAAGATTACAATAAGAAAAACAACAATAAGATTACTTTAAATCCTTGCTGAGACTTCTTATAATAGCATTATAAATCTATCGGTTAAACCAGGGTTTTTTGGTTTTTTTGTGAACAGGGTTGATCGATCTGGATCTGATCTGATGCAGCCTTGACCCAGAAAAGTCTCCAGATCGCCATGAAACCAGGCGTGCATTTAGACCCGATTGAAAGATTACTTTTCTCTGAGATTAGGTTTGCGTCAAACCACTAGACTGAAATAAGTCTTTCAGGTCAACCATTCCATTCAATTAGCTTTTCTTCTGGGTACAGGGATGACGAAAAAGCCAGGCCAGGCCCAGGTTGGTTTCAAAAATAAAGCCAGACCAGCACCTGGCTTCTGGACTTGCTTAGCCTGGTCTGGTCTAGCCTTGCTTGGCCTGGTCTGGTCTGGCCTTGCTTGGCCTGGCCCGAGCTGGGCTACCCCCTGGACAAAATCCAGGCCGACTTTGGTCGAATCTAAAATCTAGGCCAATCCAAATCCTGACTCCTTGCCTGGCCTGGACACTTTGCGTTTCGTCTCTCGTTTATTTCTCAAAAGCAACCTGATACAAAATATATCCAATCGATCGACTTATCGGCTGTCCTTTTCCGTGATTTGCTTGCAAGTTCTGAATGTCTTTTCCGAGATCCTAAAAATTCAAAAACATTTAAAAAGACATACTCTAGAATTTACAGTAATTTTTCTTTAAAATTACCTCCAAAAAGTGATGCGCAGTGGCTTTATGCAGGCTTTCTTTATAGCTGAGCTCTTTCGAGTGAACGAGAGCCAAGAAGCTAGAATTTCTATTAGAAATACTTTTCTTTTAAAATTACCGTATTTGATAAGTGACAGAGGACTTTGTGGCTGATTCCTTTTTACATAAATACAATCGCTGTCGATCCCAGTAGAACTTTTGTCCGTCTTTCCACATCTCGACCGGCCATTCGCAAACGGCTGATCTGAAATTTTTGATTTCTTTAAACTAAAGTTTTCTAAAAGATGTTCTTTGAGAAAAAGCTGTGATTCTTTTACTGATCCCTGCTTTGCCTGGCCCTGCTTTGCTTGGCCTTGCTTGACAAGGCCTCTACATCAAAACCTTTTCCCAATTTTGGTTCGGTTATCAATCTAGAGCTACAAAAAGCTGGCCTATTATTTAAAAAGCTGAGTTACTGCATCTTTTTCAATTACGATCTTCTAGAGGATCTTTTAGAAAATGCTTTAAGTAAATTGCTAATCAAAGCGGGTTATTTTTCATGAAAAATTATAGATTTTCTTTTACTGATCAATTTCTACATTTAAACCTTTTCCCAATTGATTTTCTCAATGAAATTTTCATCTTCAGTCACTCAAATCTTGACCGTTTCTTCGTTTTCTCTTAACTAATAATATGGAATTATCAGAAAGCTTTAAAACTCTTATCAAATTGCGTTATGGTGTCAGAAATTGTGACTAATCTAGTCACACTTCCACCTTTTTTCCAAAAATAGACAAATACAAAAAATAGACAAAATTCTGAAATTTTCCCCCTACAAAAATAGTTTTTACATTAAACATTAATCCTTTTTCTTCTTTCCTTTAAAGTAATCAAATTCTGTACAAAATAACGAATGTTTTGAGTGAATTGAGTGCGCTAGAAAGAGTGCTTTTACGTTAGAGTAGTAAACTTCAATGAAAAACTCGATTTTTATCTTATAAGACGCAAAGTCCATGTCATAAATCGACTTTCAATAGCGATTTTTCTCTGATTTTTGGAGATAATATGTAATCGATTTTAGAGATTTAACCGGTTAATTCAGAATTCAAAAATCTCTAACCATTTCTGAGTAAAGCGAGATCAAAGCTCAATCAAAATTCGAATCAAAAGCGAATCAAAGATCAAATCAAAATTGATTAGAAAGAATCTACTTCTTTTCAATAGAATCATTTAAAAGTTTTAGTTTAATTAAGCAGAAAGCCAGTCAGAAAGCCAGCCAGCCAGTAAAGTCAGAAAGTTTTAAAGAATTGAAAGCAATGATCAAATAATTTTCCCTCTAAAACTAGTTATTGAAATCGAGATTGATTGTAAATTTGTAAACTTTTAAACACCATAATAAATCTTACATTTAAGATCTAAAGTTTGATTTATGCGTGAAACGTTCAAACTATGCGTCTATTAAAAGCGCTGGTCCTTTTTTGGAGCTGGGAAGCCGGCTTTGGGAACTCGGGAAGCCGGCGAACTCGTCACCTCAGCGACTTCTTGCTTAACGACTTCTTCCGAAGCCTTTACCAATGAGCTGCATCAACACGTGTTCCATTGTCAAGATAAACCCTTATGCGTTACTGTCTAACTGGTTCTTACTCTGCAATGATGGAAAGCGCCTGCATTTGTACTTGTTCAGCCATTCCTTTATCGTGATCACATTGAATTGATTCAACAGCGAATAAAAGCATTGGATATCTAAAGAAATTTGATTTTCATTTGTTTTTCGTTTTTCTAGAAGCTCTTCTCACAGAATTAGACAAAAAGTCGATACCATAATTTCTCTAATAGTAGTGCACCCCCGCCCCCGAGTCGAGTCGATTTTACGGTTTCCAAGCTTTTGCAGAAGCCCAACACTCAAATCCCCCACTAGATCTCATCGTCAGCTATATTTCCGACCCCACATCGATAGGTTCTGATAAGCTGTTCTCGAGATTTCGAGCAATTTAGGTAAGGCTCAGGGTGCACTACTATTAGAGAAAAAACGACAAATAAATTTAGAGATTAGTACTAGCTAGAATTGCTTTAAAGAAAACTAGAATCATTGACGAATCACTGACCTTTTATATACAAGATATGCATCGTCTCTCTGTTGTTTCTCCTCTGGCCAATGAATATCGAAATCTAGTGAATGATTGACGAAAGTTGGCACAAAATAGAGACGAGCCAAGTTTTGACGTTCTAAAAGATAGAGAAGATTAATGTAATGATTATTGTAATCAATAAACACTTAAACGAATCGCATAATCAAAAGCTGAGGAAAGCATTTTATCAACGAAAGATTAGCAAAAGGTTAAGCAAAGCAGCAAGCAAATTTCAAGTCTAACTTTTGCTATTCATTTAAATGATTATCAATAGGTATACAATGAAAAAAACAAGATTTAGCCACTTCAAAAACAGATTTTTTCAAACCAAAAGATAGAGCTTTGAAGATTCTATCTCTAATGCGAAAAAAATAGCTATTGAAGTGAGCACAAGTCGCTTTTCTGTTGTAAACCTATTGAGAATCATATAAATGAATAGCAAAAGTTAGACTTGAACTTTGCTTAGCCTTTTACTAATCTTTCGTTGATAAATGCTTATTTTAGCTCTAACTTTTCGTGAATTTAGAGCCTTTTTTTGAGTGAGAATTGCGAAATTCAAGGTAACAGTTTCTTGGAAAAACTTTGAATGAAACGGATTTAACTAAAGTATTCTTGTTTTTAAGTATTCGTGAAAGCTGTTGTTTGAAAGCCGTCAAATTGAATCAAAGCCAATCAAAAGCCAACGTTCAACTTGTTGTTTCAAAGTGAGCAAATCGTTCGCGAGATATTGAATCCATTCCAATTGATGTTCTGGGCTGAAAATCGTGATTTAAAACGTTGAAACTTGGAACAGGATGACCGCTTATCATCGCCACACAGTTTTTCGCTTATATTTCGTTTATTTATCATCTCTAGAATCACTTTAACTTCCTTTTTAAGAGAAAAATAAGAAAAAGAAAAATAAGAAAAACCATTTGATTTGGTCAGTACTAGAGCCAAATTTAATGGAGATTCTAATAAAACCAATCATAAGTTGACTGAGCTTCTATACTTTTTGACTACCCACCCTTCTCCCCGACGGGTTGGGTGGGGTAAGTTTTATTGCAGAAATCTCGATTAGTTAAGCAACTTTCATTACGCTTTTCGACACTTTTCGCTAAGGAAACCTCTGTTGCTGTCAATAGATAAAAGATAGAGCATAAAAAGTTTAGTATATAGGGAAATTTTCAGAGAAATTCATTCACCCAATTTCATTGTAGAGGTTTTTGAAAAGAAAAACCACGAAGAATAGTCTCTATTTTGGTTGTAAGTGAACGGAAAGACTTAAAAAAAGAGCTGGAAATTCTCCAAAAGCTTTCCAAATTGTGCACTGCACAAATTGTGGGTTCTCAGCCGGTCCTCCTACTCGACCCCTTTCTGGCAGCCGACGTGCTATGGGGGCGATATAAAGCACAAATTCTTGTTCAGCATCATGGCAGGGCTGAGTCCCGGCCTGAGTCAGAAAAAGACTCGGTAAAATCCCATGGTGCGGCGTGCTTGCGTCGGTTGGAAGGATACACCATGGTAAGGCGCGGCTCCCGGGGTAAACCCTAGCCGAGTGACCCCCCGGCTTCCACCGTGGCACAGGGGAGGCGTAGGGGGGAAAATTACTATCCCCCCTGACTCATTGACAGCAGCAGGGATAGGCAAGAAGTACCCCCTGCCTCCTGGTCAATAATTCCTGTGAAAGTGTGTGTGTATTTTTCCTTTAAATCGATGATTTCAATATGCCAGAAAGGATGCGTTCACGTTTTTTCCCGCACAAAGCACAGATCTTTTCACAAACCGTTGCTGCTTCCATTCATCGCCTTGATTTCCTTGAGTTGCAACGAAATTCTCGAGAATTCCCCACCAATAAGTGGCATCGAAATGAACGGATTCGTGCGTATTCTAAAGTTTAAATTTAAATTTAAATCTAATTTTGCTCATCAATTTAAAACTCGTCAAATTTCACAAAAAATTTCATTTCAAAATCTTTGACGATTCAAATTTTACTTTAATTTCTTAATTTTGTTTTGAAATTTTAGCAAGAAAATCTTTATCTTTGCTCGGAAAAATCAAAAGAAAGAAGCAATTATTGAGTTTTTTTTTGTTTTTTATTAAGCAAACCTCGAGAAAGAAAAAACTTTTTGTTTTTTTGAAATATTTTTAATCCGAGCTGAAAAGTGGCAACAAAATTTTTCGAAAAATACCTGCATTGTCGATGCAAAAATGAAAAGTGAACATTGTGAAAACTGAAGCAGAATATAAACGAAAGAAGAGAAGTTTTTTTATCAGAGATTCCCTTTTTGTCCCGTTATCATTCGTTATCAAATAAAAATTTAGCCTCATTTTTCTTTTCTCTTCTAAATATTTGCCTTTCCAAGTCCTAACTTTTCCAGTCCTTTTATCCTAAATTCCACCAAAATATCTCCCTTTTACTTTTCACTTCTCAATTTAAAAGAAATCGAACGTTTTAGGAATTTTTTTATGAAACACACAAGTCTTGAGTAGTTTTCCAGGTATTTAAAAAAAATCCCGGATTTTGAACAAGTCGTCATACTTTGAAAGCCTATAACTTTGTCCAGAGATTATATTTTTGCTAACTTTTTATAGATTGTAAAGAGGACATTTCAGGCTTTTTAGATCGCCTGCTCGCCCACCAACGTTGTTTACTTTTTTGAATTTTTGCATAAAAATGCAAATAAGTTGAAAAGATTCAATTTCTTTTTGGCTTAGATGACAAGTTTTGAAGTTTTTATCTTCCAATTGTCCACGTTTTTCACTCTCTTTTTGATTTTAAAGTCTTCACCAAAGGAGAAAACTTTTCTTTACTGTAATTGAGTGAATTTTAATGTACTTTTGTACTCTGTACTTTTTCAATCATATCTTGTCTTTCAATTCATTTTCAACTTGTACAAAACAAATTTATTTACATTTATTAATTCGATTAGCTTAAAGTACGCTTAAAGTAGTTTTATTCATTTCATTAACTTTTTTGTTGATTTTGATTGTTTTCAAAAGCGAGAAAGTCCTGAAATTTTTGTTTTTTGCTTAAAAAACGAATATTCTATTTGAATTTTATCAAAATTTAAACTTACAATTAAGAACGTGGCGCCAAGCAGTGTTCCTTTTGCTTTTGCGTCCAAATCAATTGGGACTAAAGACAAAAAAAAGCTTTATATACTTTGTGCTCTAGTAAACGTTTCCCCACTGGCACACTCTTG